CCCCGAAGGAAACCGCTGTAAATGCATGGCAATGCCTCTGCTGGGCCATTACACAACACGTCACCCGAATCTGCCGGACCCGGAACAAAACTAATTCTGTCGACAAAGATGCCAATAGTTGGTAGTGATGGAAAATAAATGTAAAAAAGAGTTATCTCCATATATATAAAAGGCAAACTTGTGATTGTGTGTCTGTTCAAAATGTTTAGCGTACTTCCCGACATGCAACAAACTTGAAATTTGCCATGTGGGTACTTTCCATACTGTACACCATGCAAACATTTTTAAAATAGATTTTTGTGTTTTTTTTTGGGGGGGGGAGCTCAATAATGATTATATTTTTTGCACGGCAAGTGAGCTGTGACGTCAAATCTGTCACGTGACCCGCGCATGTGGAAGCGTAACGAATTGTAGTGTAGAGGTTAGCGCGCTGCGCTACGAACCCGGCGACCCGAGTTCGATTCCGGCTCACGGCCACCACCGGTGACGATTATTTTAACCACTCCTGGGCCTCCCCTAGGTCGACTCAGCCTCAAACGAGTAATTGGTGTGGTGTGTGAACATCGCCACTGGGGAGACAAAGGTGGCCGGGCGTGGTGAATCAAAGTCCCGAGTGAAACCGGGTAGTAAAGCTCGTGTATAATATAATAATTTCTAGCACAAGCAGTCCCATGAAAAATGACATTCGGGAATTTCTCCATGTGTGGAATTAGCAAATGATGGCTGCGAACCAAACACGGAACAAGCAGCCACCATTTCCTTCCACTTTTCAAAAATAAAAATAAGACAGACGTGCAGGCCTTATTACAGACCTTATTGGTCACCCCGTTCCCTTATAAACTCAACGTTCATCCTACAAAGTCCCATCATCACAAGAGAGAAACGCAAACAAAAAGACAAAAAAATGTGCCCGTATTGAAACCGCTGTATGGACCTGAAAACTCAATTTCGCCGTACAAGAATACGGGTAAACCATATGGGTTGACAGCCATGGAAATATAATGAGAGGCAATTCCATGCTATACTTTACAGTAATTCCTCGTTTAACGTGGTAGATGCGAGGAATTGCTGTCCTTCGTCACACTTGAACTGTTATCAGTATCAGTGGAATTCCGCATGCCGACTGCGGGGGGTGAGGCGATCCACATGGAAAAGCCACCGTTGGCTTCCCCACAGAGTGGCGCTAACCCTTCTTGGTTGTTTCGATTAAAGTAACGTCGAAGGGAAATAATAAAATGATAAAAATCAAACATAATAAAATACAATTCTCACCACGCTTTGGCCACAACCCAAGCAGCCGTCCTCAGGTGAAGACGCTGTCTTTCCGTGGCCGAAACGTCGTGAGAATTGTATTTTATGTTTTATTTTTATTATTTTATTATTTCCCTTCTACGTGACTTTACCGAAAGAACCAAGAAGATGAATCCCTGCAGTCACGAAAGCTTTAAATCGAAATTTGGCGCTAACTCCTCACATACCTGAACCACCCCCCCCCTCCCCCCCCGAAGGGACGACGGAGCGAGGAGTTGAATCTTTGGGACGTTTCCGATTGCGAGCCGCTTGCTTGACGGATGAGCCGCTTGGCTCGCGTGATTAATGCGGAGACATTTGGCGAACACTTTTTAGCTCGGTAGCAATTAAATCGATGTTTGCGAGGTAACATTTGACGACTGTAAATCACACTGATAAAAAAACAAAATCACCATTCCGCAGTTACAGCCGGGTCACTTACCAGCACCGGGATTCACTGGGTGTGGACGGCTAAATGACAATTCCCCTGACATACGGCGTTGAAGAGTTTGTTTTGTTTGTAAAATTACGTGGAGAAAGAGAGAAAAAAAAACGACGAGACCAGCAACAGGCGTGCAGCTTGACAACCGCTGGTGCTTACGAGCAACGCAGCGTCGCTTTCTTAGCCCATGTGACCGCACCCCCATCATGACCACCGGCGTTACGTGAATTCCCACCACTGCGGGTACGGCGTTACCACAGGTGTGGGGGGAATTGCTGCTGCAAGAGACTCTTGGATTGTTCCTCACTTGATACAGTAAATTTAGCTGTGATGGTCCACCTGATGACGGAGACTTGTGTTGCCTCCGAAACGTCGTGATTTTTTATTTATTTAATTTTTACCTACGTGACTTTACCGAAAAAACCCAAGAGTATGAATCCTTGCAGTCACGAAAGCTTCAAATCTAGAAAGAATTGGTGCTGTGCACCGTGAAGCACAGAGCGATATTGCGACGTAGCGCGACGCAGGAATGCACGCAATTCCGTTTGGCGACCGTCGCAAATCCCGCCATGAGTTGCGACGCAACCACATTGCGATTCGAAGCAACGCGTGTAACGCGTGCAATGCATGAACAATGCGATGCAATGCACGTTCAAGGCAATGCGATGCTATGCAAATGTAGGGCACTGTAGGAAGTTCGAAACCAAAGCTAAAACAACGTTTTCGGGAGAGAAAAAAATCACCAATTGATCACATGCGGAACACAGTACTATCAGTAATATAAGGGTATAATCAGGGCAAAGGCTGTCAATGTTCCCCAAAATGGGAATGTAACTCATGAGTAATTTGCATATTAATTATAGCCCCATTGCTCTACCCCCTAGGATATGGAATCTGTCAGACAAGTGTGTTTTTAACCTACTTAATGCGATAGAAAAATGTGTTTTTCCTCTTCTTCTCAGTACCATTACCATGTTCCTACTTAAACACTGGAACAAGTGCACTAATGTTCCTGACTGTATTCAATATAATGTGAAATAAAACTAAACTATTTTATTTTACCAGGTAAGGGCTCAATGAAGTGGCTTATCGGGTTGAAAGCTACAGCAGCCATATACTCTAAACGCACGTTGATTCTAAACGTGGAGGGAAAATCCACAGAACCCGGATAAAAAATCCACGTGACCACGGGAAGAACGTGTGTAATGGACCCATGATCGTCTCAAAGTAAAATGTGGGTCTCATTAAAAAAATGTGCCACGATCGAGTCCCATCAGACTTGAACCGTGTCCCCTCCTTGCTTTCAGCATAAATAATGTTTGTGTACCGCAGCAAAGTCTGCCAAATTGACACTCCAGTCACACTGCAACACTGCACCACCCCCCCCTCTTCCTTACAGCTCCATAAACCTGGGTTGTCCTGGCCTCATGCATACACTACAGGATGATGATCTCCCCACGTCGTGCGGGTCGCAGCTGGTATTTGACACGTAACTTCACTACGCACATCCCTGTGGGTTTGGTGAGGGCAGCGATCATACATGTGGAAGCAGAGAAATACAGAACAACAGGGAATGATGCTGCACAGCCCTCAACGTTTATAATTAGAGTGCTGTACGACGTTTTGCTGTTGATCATGCTGGTTGTAATCGCCAGCGAAATGTTGTACTCAAATTGCAAACGTTGTGGGGTTTACTCTGCAACAACACAACCGGTGTGCTGTAGTTGTAACTAATTGGCACGTTTTGTTCACGTGACGGACCTTACTAATTGGCCGTGTCGGGCGGCGCAATATTCCTCAGGGACCTTGCACTCGTTCTCTGCAATGTTGATATTTTTATTTTGTGTTTTTGTTGTTGTTGCTGCTACGCTCATGCACCACGGATCCCCCCCCCCCCCCCCCAGTGTAAAATAGCCGGACGAGATCATCCGTTGTAACAAATCAAATAAACTCTAAAATTAACGCTAACGTGGTGCACGCACCCATACACACGCACAAGCGCGCGCGTGATGCAGTCGGCCAGCAGCTCTGCTCTGCAATCTTCCATCTCCCCCAGCGTTCTCGTCACACATCGCGGACTCATTTCCGGCACAGAGTCAGACCCGCGAGACACCAAGCGCATGTTCAGTCAGCGCGGGGCGCTCACCCTCGTTGTGCATTACCAAGGTGCGCGCCAAACGCTCCGGGACGATGTCACGGAGCGATAACCGATAGGCCGCTGCTAACTCTGGGTCAACTCGGCCTAAAAGCGAGGACCCGCGGTGCGAGTGCGTCAGCATTTACGGCGGAGAGACAAGTGCGGCCTTGGCAGGTGCTCACGGACGGCAATGACATCTGTTGTTGAAATTTGTTGCACTTCGACCGCAACTCCGATTAGCGCGGGTGGCGACGAACGGTGCGAAAGAAGTTGAACGTACACAGGGCGGGATGAAGATTTTGCAGCCCCTGGGCTACAGGCACTATGTGAGGCCCCCGGTAGAATATTCAAAAGGAAAACAAAGTGGAAGAAAAAATAAAATTATTTTTTACGAGGCTAACAACAAATAAAATTCAGCATTCACAAATGAAATAACTTCTCACTTCATCTCTGGAGGCCCACCAGCTGGCGGAGGCCCCAGGGCTACAGCCCCTGAAGCCTCGTGCCTCGATCCGTCCCTGAACGTCCATATACTGTCTTATATAACAGAACTATGTCCGTATTTTTTACTTCAATTGAGTTTTCGTACGACATTATTACACAAAAGTGGTTAACTCCAGCCATTTATAATTTCATAGACATGAGCAGCTTCACAGCGGATACATGATTTGGTGATAATGTGTTGGCAGTTGCATACAAAGCGTAAAAAACAAACCAAAAAACTCACACTCCTCAATAACAATGTCGTATAAGGAAACAAAAAAATCTGCAATAAAATATATAAACAGGCGACGTTTTGGCCAACGGCCCTAACCATAATAAGGCGCTTCGTTATTGCTATGAAGGAAAACCCTTGTGGAGTAATATTTTGTTATCAATTCACATCACATGTGGAACGGGCACTGGTTACAGCTGACCAACCCCGCCTTATTGCATACCGGCAACGTCCCAAGGCCGTGGGAATGACGCCTCTTATCCATGAACGTAACTGCAGATCAATGTGGATTACACAGACAGTCGACCATACAGCTGCAAACACGCACACGCGCGCACGTGCACACACGGACACAATATGTAACAAACAAACAAAAAACGCATGCGAATTTCTCCTCCACGAACAAGTGCACTTACGCAAAATGTGAATTCCGTCAGGGCAAGCCGCACTCCAGGCGCATGTTCCACACGCGCACGCGGGCGCTTGTGACGCACGGAAATGAGAGGCGGTAGAAATATCAACGCTTTGGGCCTTTTTTTTCCGTCGCATGAGCGTGGGCGGTCGAGATTAAGGCCATGGTTTTCCCTCCGCTGTTATTTATTTCATTCAAATGTGCACCCCCCCCCCTTTCCCTCATCATCTACAAGCAAGGGTCTCAAAACTTGGTGCATCCAGCGCCGGCATTGGAGTCAGAGAGACACGCGGCCACGTACTGCACCAACAGAGGGAAGAGATGTATTCAGAAGAGAGAGGGGGCATAACCTTCGTCAGATTAACAGATTTATTCAGCGTGAAGATACGAGACAGATGAAGAAAAACAGACTGATACGAGAGGAGGGATTATTGGCTACGCACGGTGCGAAATGAGTTCAACATGCATCGTACACACGTGCGTATCACCTGGGGGTGCACACAATCTCGTCAGACTTTGTGGAAGGCAAGCAGCGGCCGAGCCTGGCTAAACGGTTCGATGGGTGACCACCCTACACAAAGTGGCTGTCTGTCATCGGGTACTGCCGGACTGCGTGGTGGGCGGCAGAGGGCAGTGCAGCAAAATTAATTGCAAAATGCAATGTGCAGTTGACGCTCCCCGCTGTCACCGCAACACCACCACTCTGACCAGCGTGGCTCCGGCACAGACGACCATGGTCACATAAACACCGCCAACCCCCACGCCCCCCCCCCAACGTGCGGTTTGGACAGGACCTCATCCATCAGTGGACTACCAAGAGGCTTGCACAGTAATCCCTCGTTTAACACAACAGATGCGTTCCTTAATCACATTTGCGTGAAACAATCGACCTGCGGTCATCCCATTGCGGGACGCAGAACCGAGATGAGGGTAGGCCACTGCGCGCTGCATCGTTCGGCGCATATGCCCAGAATTCCCAAACCGCTGAGACGCGCAGCTCAATAAAGAAGTTGGTCGTCGACCGCTCAGAAACCGTGTTATGACGAGCTGCGCGCCCGCGTTGTGCAAATAAAGTGTCCCCGAATGGAGGAAAGCGTGCCAAAGCAAAAAAAAAATGCGCTATAGTGCGAAGACGACGCGATTGAAGACGCTTGAGGAGGCGTTCCGGGGCATCTTCTGAGGGCCCCCTTTCAGACACGAGGCGATTCGTTGCCGTTTGGTTTCTCAAATGCAAAGTTTGTCCCGTGACAGCGGACAGCGATAGCTCAAAATTTCATGGCGGATTTAAAAAGAAAAAGACGACCCTCCTCCATGGCCCACAACCTCGTTGTGGCGGAGGGGCTTTCTCGCTCATCGCGGTTCCGAAGATGTCGCGTGCTCAAGACGCGAGCGCCGCTCCTGGGGCCAGACCCGGGGACCGGTCGAGACAACGAGCGGCCGGCGTTCCCGCGGGACCCGGTCGAACAGAGCTCCAGAGGCAGCAGGTACCACCAGGAGATGTGGCTCATGGCCAACTGCTTCAGGTCAACCGTGGGGAATTCTCTGTTCTCTCCTTTTTTTTAACGATCAAAGGAAACAAGAAGATGCTCGGTGTAGTCGGCACTTGGCTTCGTTCATTATTTTGGTGTTTTTTTTCAATGCTTTGCTTTATGTGCCCCCCCCCCCTCTCTCCTCCTTCTTACCCCTTCCCTCTCTCTCTACCCCCTCTCTCCCTACTCTATGTCTATGTTCCCCCGTTTTCTATGTAATATTTGTATATTTTTTACGACAAGTGCTGCATCTGCACCCAGCCCTTCTCGCAGTCCTACGGCCTCCGATGGGTAGCTCATATCTGCATGAAGAGCTCTCCATCTTCTGCCACCGTGCACACGGCCTCCTCCAGCGCCCACTTTCCCCCCTTGCCTACTCTCCTCAATGATTATATCAGCAATCGCTCAATATGCCACCTTCCCGGGTCATCTCCTCCACTCAGGAGGTGTGAATCACGCTTCAAGAGACTATTTATAGCGAGATGTCGCTCTCTGTGTCCGCAGGCGGCAGGAATGCAGAGCTGTATAATGATCGTGATTGTCAAGCAGGTGGTAAAGAGGCCGAGGAAAATTTAGTGCATTCTCCTTTAAAGGTCGGTGAAATAACCAGTTTGTTTTGCGGCACAAGTAAATTTCATGGTTTTAAAATATGTGCAAATAAACGTTTCTCATGGCAAAAACAGTATAACTCGTGTAATCGATAATTATCTTATCGAACGTCCCTGATATATGTGGGTCTTGCTAATCTGATTCATCTGTTGATTGGCTCTTCCTGCTACATGCAAATCTGTGAATAACAGTGAGGACCATGGACTGATATCGTGTGAACGGAAAAAATACATTAGCAGCAAAGTATGTCTCTGGGCTTTTTACAAAACGTTACAAGAGTAGCATGAAATGTATTCTGCTGTGCACAATTTCCTCCGCTTGATATTCGAGAAAGGATTTTCAATGATTGTAGAAATGCTGGGAAAGTTTGCTCCAAGCCCTTCCTTATTATACACACACATTTATTTACAAACCTTTGTCAAACGACTGCTGAGAAAAGGCCTCTTACATGCAGAATTGGTCATGGGAGGAGTTATTTGACTCTTGCAAATTCAACTTTACTCTTTTCAGTTCAGTCACCTGGTTACTCAAACAAAACTTGACAACACTCCAGCATAACACTAGGTTTTTTTACCCTTTTTCTGGCAACAAAACTGACACCTTTTTACAATGAATCATGTTTGCATTAACCACAATACCTGCGGTCAGAATTCAAACAAAAAAACAACTCTGATAATGTATGCATTGTCCTTGAACACTCCACCAATGATTTCGATTTAAAGCTTTCGTGACTGCAGGGCTTCATCTTCTTGGTTCTTTCGGTAAAGTCACGTAGAAGGGAAATAATAAAATAACAAAAATAAAACATAATAAAGCATAATTATTTAAATAATAATAAGAAACTACATAATACAACATAATTATTTAATTACGTTTTAATTTTATTATTTTATTATTTCCCTTCTACGTGACTTTACCGAAAGAACCAAGAAGATCCACCAATGATGTTAACCGTGGCCAGGAATTAAATTCGAGTCACCGGGTTCACAGCGCAGCGCGCGAACCGGCTGCATGGCCCCTCCACACACAAGCCGACACGCCGTCCGCCGCGTCGACGACGATTTGTCCCGTGCTTGGCGCACCGGAGAAAACGTCCTCCGCAGATATCGCACAAGTCACAGACTGCCTATGTGTGTCCCTCTCTGTTTGTCTCTGTGAGTCTCTCTCTCTGCTTGTGTGTCTGTCTGTGTGTCTATGTTGTGTGTCTCTCTCTGTGTGTCTCTGTGTGTGTTTCTCTCTGTGTCTCTCTCTGTGTGTCTCTGTGTTCTCTCTCTCTCTCTCTGTTTCTCTCTGTGTGTCTATCTGTGAGTCTCTCTCTGCTTGTGTGTGTCTGTGTATCTCTGTGTGTCTCTGTGTGTCTATTTTGTGTGTCTCTCTCTGTGTGTCTCTGTGTGAGTTTCTCTCTGTGTCTCTCTCTGTGTGTCTCTGTGTTGTCTCTCTCTGTGTGTCTCTCTCTGTGTGTCTATGTGTGAGTCTCTCTCTGCTTGTGTGTCTGTCTGTGTGTCTCTGTGTGTGTGTCTCTGTGTGTCTATGTTGTGTGTCTCTCTCTGTGTGTCTCTGTGTGAGTCTCTCTCTGTGTCTCTCTCTGTGTGTCTCTCTGTGTGTCTCTGTGTTGTCTCTCTCTGTGTGTCTCTCTCTGTGTGTCTATGTGTGAGTCTCTCTCTGCTTTTGTGTCTGTCTGTGTGTCTCTGTGTGTGTGTCTCTGTGTGTCTATGTAGTGTGTCTCTCTCTGTGTGTCTCTGTGTGAGTCTCTCTCTGTGTGTCTCTGTGTGAGTCTCTCTTTGTGTCTCTCTCTGTGTGTCTCTGTGTGTGTGTCTCTGTGTGTCTATGCTGTGTGTCTCACTCTGTGTGTCTCTGTGTGTCTCTCTCTGCTTGTGTGTCTGTCTGTGTGTCTCCGTGTCTGTGTTTTGCCTCTCTAAAATTTAGCAATCTTTGGACGAACGTAATCAACCAGGTGGGGTGTTGACTGTTTTGTTGGCCGACTCCCTGTGTTGTATAGCATTATACTTCCACGTTCACGATGTTTGTTTTCTCATTCACTTGTACCTGATGATGGTTGCTTGTGTTGCAATCGAAACGTCGCATTCTATTATTATTTAATTGAATTTCTTTCTACGTGACTTTACCGAAAGTACCAACGAGTAAACTGATCCTCTCCAACAGCTCCGAGCGAATCTCTGTAAACAACCCGACCTGGAACAAAACCGATCACTGAAGGTGTCCCCCATCAGGGCTACAAACGTGATCCTATCCTCTTCGCTTCATGTCCAGAATTTAGAAGACTCGCTCACCCCACTCCGAACTAAATCTGTTCACCGATGACGCTTCTGTTATCTCGTGGTCTAGCAAATCCGAGGATGATCTGTATACAAAAGCTGCAACAAGAATGATGTCCTTAAAATACAACTAAACGGTCCTAGACTTATTTTTAACGTCAGCAAGATAAAACTTGGCGGTGTTTTCGGGAATGTGACCAATTGACTCCCCGTCCCCACTACCACAATGATGACCGTTTGACTCTCAATTAATTGAACCCGTCAACAAATGTAAATACCCCACGTGTCACCCTCGATCACAAGCCATTGTTTGCTGCACATGTCAAATCATATTTGCAAGAACAACAACAAAAATATGAAGGTAAAAATTGGCTTCCTCTTAACCAGAAATCAACTTCGAATTTCACCCCGACTACAATTGGATATTGAGCCACCGCATTCTCTATCTTCCGACGACTGCGATGTTATTAACGCAGACTTGGTGTAGGGCTCAGCGCTAAAACACACACTGGTTCCATTGCACCACTCTGCTCTCGGCTCTCCACTTTGCCCTCGATAACCCCTGCAGAACCCACCTCCACCGCGAACTTTATTGATTATGTATTTAATCCTTCGGAGTTCCTCCCTATTCCTGGTCCCCCCCCCC